CTCCTCCCCCTCCTGCCTCACTCTCTCTTTCTCTTCTCCTCCTCCTCCTGCCTCACTCTCTCTTTCTCTTCTCCTTAGTCCTCCCCCTCCTGCCTCTCACTCATGAAGCCCAAACAGCCATTTGGTCCCTGCATGGTGTCCCGGCTGAGCGGCGCAGAACTCAGCAAAGCGCCATGGCGGGAGGAGAAGGGGGTGGGGCAGTGATGTACATGGCTGGGCTGCCATGGGGGAGCCCAACCGCCACTTGCTCCGCTTGCTCCCCCATGGCGGCCCGGCTGAGCGGCGCAGAAGTCAGCCGAGTGCCACGGTGGGAGGCGAAGGGGGGCATGGCGGTGATGTACGACATTACAGCGGCTCCAGGCCGTTTGGGCTCTGCGGTCCCTTGAGTGAGAGGCAGGAGGGGGAGGAGAGCCGAGAGAGACGAGGAGAAGGAAGGGGGGGAGACGGAGACCTGAAAATCCCGTCTTATGACGGTCTAATTAGCTAGTTCGCAATAACTGCCAAAGAAAATGCAAATCTTTGATTGGACTGTTGAGTCACATGAGAAGTTACAAATCATTCACATAATAGGCTGCAGTTCCTTCTGTGATTTGTAGATGGAAACATGCCAACAAGAGCCACAGCTTATGGGGTGTCTCAGTCTGCATCCCCACAGACTTTCCAGGCTCGATTGTTGAGAGCCCCAGTGACATCAGTCACATTTTTCAACAGTGTTTCAATATTGGACATTTTGTTGGACTGTGATATGGGGCTCCATGTATACTTTTACCAGTCATCATTTAGTTACCGCAGCATCGCTGTCAGATGCAAAATTTGCAAAGGCAGTGCTACAATCATTATTCAAATAGATTCAAAGTCCCAAATCTAAATACTGATTGTGAGTTGCCTGAGTGGAATACACATACAACCACCGAAATAAAAAATGGCTACTTACCGGTTCTGTAACTGTTCTTTGAGATGTATTTCAGACTTGCATTTCACAACCCATCCTCCCTGTGTCAGAGTCTCTGCTCTTGAAATTCAATGGGATGGAACTGAGGGAGATTGGCATGGCACAGCCCTTAAATTGTAGGGCAGGAGCTACCCCTATAGGGACAGCTAGACCAGGGTCTCTGGTTTTGGTGTAGTGCACATGCATTCATACCTGAGTGGAATACATGTCTGTACTCACACCTTGAAGAACAGGTAACCATTTTTCTTTAATATTGAATTTTTTTAACTCACTGAGACTAAGCCTCCAATTTACCAGAGGATTGATGCTCTGGCGCTCGATCTTCCAGGATTTGATTTATCAGGTCTAGTAAAGACCCACTAAATTGAATGCTGAGGGTATCCCTGTTGGCATCTGTACTGTTGTGAGGATTAAGGGAAGTCAATGGGAGCATTTCTCCCATTGACCTCCCACTGTGGAGACAGTGCCAAGCTCAGCTTAAGGTATGCTGACTCCAGTTACATTATTTATGTAGCTGGAGTGGCATACTTTAAACCAACCTTCACTCCTGCAACGTAGACCTGGCCTGAATAGGGAGGTCGTCTTCGTATGGTCAAATACATAGTGAGGTGTAAGTTACGATCCTCTGTCAGAGACCAAGTTCAGGCATAAATTTTAAATACTGCTCTGTAGTAGTACATCAGTATGTAAGGGTTGTCTTGAATCCGGGAAGCATTCCAGGTGCTAGACACAATCCTTTGCTGGCCAAAACATTGGCATTGGCCACCTCCATGCCATTGAGTAAAAAGCAACTAGCAGCTAGCTTTTTATCTATTCCATTTTCTCTGGCCTATGATTTTGCTCCTGAGTAAGCAGAGTTAGGTGACAATTTAACTTTATATTTTAATGGTTATAAAACATGTCCTAGAATGTAGTCTTGAATCCCAGTTAAGTTAATGAATTAGCTTAAACAGTCAAAAGCCAAGCTATTTGATGTTAAAAGCTCAGCTCTGAAAAGCAGGATAGGGCATCTCTTTAGTGACTGACAAGGCTCTTCTACTTTCAGCATGAAGAACCAACACATCTCATGAAAAGACTTTTTTCTTTCTTTCTTTTTTTCTTTTTTGGTTTATATGTTGTTGGAATTGTTGCTGGTAGTGATGTACAACTTGGAGCACAGCGTGGCTTTCAAGATGGCAGACCATCTTTTTACTTGTAAAGTGAGCAAATTTGATTTAGAAATAAGTGGTACAATAAATGTTGAACCCCAGAATAATTTCTGCAATCAAAAGACACTGTAAGTTTGAAATTTCATCTGTAGTTTATTGTGGTTAGGGATAAGCATATGGTTATGATTGTGCTACAGGTTGGACGTCCCTAGTCCGGCTCCCTTTGGACCTGACTGGTCCCAGATGAAGGATTTTCTGGACCACCAAAGGTTATTTCAGCCTCCCCGCACCACTACCTCTCTGGGCTTCCTGGCTCCCCCTCCAGCCCAGCTGAGTCACATGCCAGCTCCCAGCCCATCCCCAGCCCAAGTGAGCCCCTTGCTGTCTCCCTGCTCCCCTTTGCAGCCCAGCTGAGCCACACGCTGGCTCCTGGGCCCCCACCTCCCTGTAGTGTGCTAAGACTCTCTGATCATGGAACATCCGAGGTCTTGCCGGACCATGGATGTTGCCAGACCAGAGAATCCTGATGCAACCTGTACAACTAATACACCACTCCATAAAACCCCAGGCATACAAGAGCATTTGAAGGATGGAGTTTTGACTGAGTTTCCTGGTTTCCTCTGTTAAACCTTCCTTAGTTTTCAGTTACTAATAGTTTTATAAAAGGTACCACAAATTCAAGAATGAAGGGGTTATCTCGTCACTCACTGAATTTCATTCTCTTGGAGCTAGTTCTGTTGCTATTGATGGATTCACTAAAAATGGTATTGTAATGTTAAAGCTGCCAATTATTATTAGTACTGAAAAATACTGTTTAAATCTAATTATTGAGGTATGAGCATGAAGGAATAGAAAAATCTAAGATTGTCTGTTTCCTGTCTTGTGCTCTTTTGGTTGTATATGTTCCTTTTCTAGCTGTATTCAAAGTGACTCAATGTTATTAATGTAGGTTTTCCTTTGGATCTCTTACGATGTGAGAGTTTACTTGGCTTGGATCCTGCCACCTGCAGTAGAGTTCTAAACAAAAACTATACCCTACTTGTCTCCATGGCACCACTCACCAATGAAATTCGGCCCATCAGCAGCTGCACTCCACAGGTGAGCATACACTTTGAAAGGAGTCCTGAGTCTGTGATGATGTGCTTCATTGTTTAAGATTTTTTTTTAATGTAAAGGCATTTTTTTAGGATCTTTTTAATAAGAAGTAGCTTCATTAGAATGTTGACTATATAAATGCCAGGAAATAAAATAGATATATTGCATCTTCCAGAAGTAGTACTAATTTAGAAACCACTTTACCACTCCATGCTCATATTGAGTAAAACATCTAAGGTATTGTGCCATCACAATACGAGTAGTGTAATAAAGCCCTTAATTTATTCCTTAAAGTAGCACTACCTGTTCCATCTGTACCCTCCGTCCCCACTTCCCAAGTGTGCACAGCCCTTCTGCATGAGCCCCATCTACCTGTGGCTGATGGCAAGAACTCGCTTAATAATTAAAGCCCCATGGTTTTGTCCCCCATAATGCATTTCTTCACTTCCCTTGGGAGACCTACCCCAGGAGACTCACCCCCATAGTTTGAGAACTCTTGGCTTAGAGCTTCTCCATTAAAGTGCTACAGTATTTTAAATGTTGACTTGCCCTCACATGATGCATTCTGTCAATGTTACCTAAAGCAGGAGCTTGTCTCCTTGTGGGTGCTTGAAGAACTAAGTGTGGGGAGGACATAGGAAGACTCTCATCTGTTTTCAAACTTTCATTAAAAATAAATATATGAAACAACCCTGATTTGTAAATTAATTAAGATGGATTTACAAGGCTGTGATAGAAGTGATGTCATAGGCTTAATTTCAGAAGGGTGATCAGCTTTCAAAAATATAAGAAAATGCATTACATGATTCTCTGTGAAGCTATTATGTCTTCCTTCCTCCATTTATTTACTTAGTGTACTACTTAGCTTCACAAATCAAACCTCTGCAGTGAAAGTTAGAATAGCAAAACATACTGTATACATGTAATATAAATTATAAGGGAAAGTAATGTAAACAATTTGGTAACCAAATTATACATAACAATCAGCTTGTTTACCACATTGTTTGAGCAAGTTTCCAGTAGCTGTGAATATATTGTACCTATAGTAAACTTTAACAAATCTAGCCTACAAACAGGAATGTCCTTCATATCTTCTGTTGTATCAAATGAACTAAGGGATAGCTGAGTTTGAAGTTTAAAACTTGATTCTCCATTTAACAGTGAGATGTTGCAGCTACTAGCCATTAAGTCAGGCCCATCTGCTTATAAAGGTTACTGTTTAAATATACCAAACTCTACTAAAATAGCAAAGTTCTTCATTTTTTCTGGACCTGTATTTGTACTTTTAATAGTAGCAATTCATATGATGCTTTTTAATTTTTTCAATCATTCTTCAGCATATTGGACCAGCTATACCAGAAGTTAGCTCAGTTTGGTTCAAATTGTATATTTACCATATTACTGGTCAAGGACCACCATCCCTATTGCTGTCTAAAGGAACAAGGCTTAGAAAACTTCCGGACATTTTCCAGGTATGTTTATATGCTGCTTTTTTAAAATGGAATCTGAATATTTCTCCTAAAGAGGGGACTGTTCATTGCCTCCGTTGCTGTTTGTATCCATTGCAGCAAACTTGATGTTACTTTCCCTTGCTTTCTAGCAGAAAAATTACGAGGAGCAAGGATGTCTTTGCTCAGAAATATGAGGCTTCTACTCCAGAGTGCAAGTACTTGTACATAAGGGAATCTGATCTTTTCTCTTTTTCCAAATCAAACACAATAAAAATCTCTGTGTGCCTCTCTCTCTCACTCTCACATCCACCCCCTCTCAAAGTTTGAGAATATGTTTAAGACCATCGCCTTTATTTTGGTAACTGTTCAGATCCTAGCAAAGAGATTTTCTGAAGCTCGTGGAGATCTCTTCTGCAATTATGATGACTGTGTTCATCCTGCTTTGAATTGACTCAAGGGAGGTATGGTAGTGTTCTCCTACCATTTTGTCCATGACAAAAGTGTTAAGTTTAAAAATGTCTGTTACATACGGCTTTCTTCTTCTCCTCACCTTCACACAATCCTCATAGTGGTAATTGCAATGGCCTGAGCAGGCTTGCTAGACTACCATTATAACATCTTCTGACTGATTTGATACTGAAATGCTTTTTGTCCTGCTCAAATATCAATTTAAAATGAGGAACAGGACTATATAGTCTTCATGTCTCCCTTCCCAAAGTGCATTAACCATTTAAAAAACCAAGCTTGTGAAGGAACAGAGCTAGGCCCCAGGAATGAAAATAATTGACATCTTGTTTTGCTCTGTCTTGCTCGTTTTCTGTTCCTATTTTTTATTTTAAAGTTGGCATGGGGGGGTAGTCATTTCTCAGAAACAAAGTAGTAAAAGAACAGGTAAGTGGTCATTTCTAGTCTACAAAAAGGTTCTATAATGCTAGCAACCTGGATTTTGATTGTAGGTGTGAGGCCTAACCCAGAGCTTCAATATTTAGTGAATGCTTGGTGTGGATTTTTTGTTTATCTTTTTAAAATATGTAGCTGTATAACAAATCATCTTGTAAATTTCCTTATGGAATCAGATTATTGGTTTCATGACACAGGACTTTCACTGTATCAAATAGTCCCAGATTCTATGGCAATACACTTTTTTCTTGAGGAATTTTAGCCCTCTGAACATAATTTTTCTATTACCAGGCAAAAATCTCATTCCACTAAGGATGTTAAATGTATTGGTTAATTGAATAGTCAAGTAATCACATGAAATCTTCGTGGTTACTTGACTATTCAATAGTCCTGGAGTGGAGGGCGGAGGGGGCAGGAGTTATCAGTCAGTGCACTCCCAACTCCACTCCCAAGTGCCCCTTGTCACTCTGTGCAGTTACCTCTGTAGGTGCCAGGTGAGAGCCAGTCCACGAGCAGACCCAGTTTGAAAACCAGCTCCCTTCCTGATACAGAAGAAGCAGCGTGGGAGTGGCAGTAGTCCCTGTCTATGGGGGGGCGGTTCCAGCTCCCATGGAGCAGCCTCTATTTATAGCAAGCCTGGGCCCACTGCAGACAGAGGCTGCTCCAGCAGCATCCCCATCTACGGGGGGTGGACAGGTGGTCCCAGCTCCCCATGGACAGAGGCTGCAGCAGTCTCTATCTGGGGGAGCTGGGACCTCCCATGGATAGGGACTGCTGCTGAGAAGCAGCCTCTGCCTGCAACAATGGACAGAGGCTGCTCCCTAGGATGGGGAGCAGCCTTTGTCTGTGGCGAGTCTCCCTTGCTCCACCCCGCCCCCACACTGCTGCCTCTATTGGAGGCAGCAGCATGCGGGGGGAGGAGGCAGCACCGCCAAGCCAGTGCTAGGGGAACCAGCTCCTGCTTCCCTCACACTTGCTGCCGCTGTACCAGAGGCAGCAAGGGGGGGAAATACGAGTAGTCGAGAAGATTAACTGATAAGCCTAGGTTTATCGGTTAATTGTATATTCGACTACTCGCTTACATACCTAGTTTCCACTACTTGTTGTTGCAGTATCATCTTGTTTGAAATATATGCTTTGTCTCAGGAGACATTCCGAGGATGACTTAATCTTCAGTTATGAAAAGCCTTATTTCTGAATCTTTAGAGAAGAGGAAACTGCTTCCATGTCATTATTTTTCTCTGAAGATGCACTCCTCCATGATTAGTCACCATTCTCATTCTGAATCCTGCTGAGAGGTTTAAAGTTTCTCTCATCACATACTTTTATCTTTCAAATTTATACGGGAACATTTTCATCTCCCTTTCTCAAAGAACATTGTGGCATCTGCACACGTTGTGGCAAGGACTTGTGACACACACATCCTATTTAAACTAGCACGTTCAGATATGCCCAACCTCAAATTTTTGCTTCCATCACAAGCAGGAGCATCAACATAAAAGTGACCTGACACAAAGTAAAATGGTACATTACTGAAAATCCTTGCAATAATATCCTAATTATAACACCTCACTGTTGATCTAATGATTTTGCTTTTCATTTTTATATATGTGGGTAATCAGTTACTACTTCCTTTTATTTTGTATTCTTTTAGGGTTATGATCGCTTACTAATAACATCTTGGGGTCACGACCCAGGCATAGTTCCAACTTCGAACGTATTGACAATGTTGAATGATGCTTTAACACATTCTGCTGTTCTAATACAGGTATTATATATGAATATGATATAATGATCTTAATTTCTAATAAATTATTTCTTGTATGTAATGTGTAGTGGAGGGGGTTGAGTGAAAAGGGGGGAAAATTGACTTTTCAAAACGTTCCATGTTTTCTAAAAATTTGAACTTAGAAAAACTTTTACTAGCTTGATTGTGTAGGTAGTTTATTTTACAGTGTCACTAAAATATTGAACCAAACCCACTGTTGTGATTCATATACAACTATCTAGATTAAAACATAGTCCATGTATTGTAGTATCAATTATGTGATGCATCACAATTATGCTTTGTAGCTGCATTGGTTTGCAGTGATTTCTTTCTGATCATATAATTGTATCTTAGTCTAATTTTGTTTTAACTTTTAGGATATTTTTGTACTCACGTACAACTGATTTTTCCTACAAACTGTATCTCAAACTCTTTGCAATATTTATTGTCTCTAAAAATAATGAGCAGTCCTGTGGCACCTTAGAGACTAACAAATATATTGGATCATGATGAGGTTTCATGGATAAAAACTACATCCTCAGGTGAGTTGGAGTGGAAATTACAGAATCCAGGATATATATAACAGCTTGCCTCTAGTTTCCATCCAGGACACAACACGCAATCCACTGTCCTCAGCCTGCAAAAGACACCCACCCCTATACCCTCACCCACACACACAACTCCACCCTACCCCCTTTGGATTCCGTAATTTCCACTCCAGCTCATCTGATGAAGTGGATTTTATCAATGAAAACTCATGCTTTAATATATTATTCTCTAAGGGCATGTCTATACTGGGGAGGTATTTTGAAATAATTCCCCTTATTTCAAAATAACAAGGTAAGCTTCCACACTACCAAGCCTGAGTTTTTGTTTCCTGCTTGTGAAGAGAAATAAGCTTATTACAAAATCGTTATTTGGGGATTTATTTCAAAGTAACCTAGTAGCATAGACATAGCCTCGGATGCCACAGGGTTGCTCATTGTTTTTAAAGTTTCAGACTAACATGGCTAATTCCTCTGAGACATTTATTGATTCTGGAAAGGAGGGTAAATTAAACAACTTTAACAAAGAAAAAGGGTTTTCAGGTAAGATGGGATTTGATAAGGTAGATACAAGTAGGCTGTTCAGATATCAGGAGAGGCATATAAGAGACACAAGCACAGGAACTAGATATGTAGCAGGTGTTGAAGCAGCCCCATGTTTTATTATGAAAAGTTTGCTGATGCTGTCAAAATGAAGCTAGCATTATTTCACGATTTTGAAACTGATAATGCCTCAAGACTTTGATTGTTTGATTTAGTAAAACACAAAGCTAACTGTTCCTCTTTTCTACATTTTTAACTTTGAGTTGCTTACATGGATATTTATTTAAAATTACTAATTAGAATCTTCAGTATGTAAGTGTCTTATCTGGTCCGCTTGTTTGTTACGTTAGTGTTACCCAGCCCTTCTTAAACAAAAGAGCACAAGTAGAACTAAATAATCAGTATAAGCTCTAGTAGTATATGTGGATTTCTTTCCTTGATCTTAAGCTCTTTGTGTTCAGGGACATGGCATGCATGGAATGGGGGAAACTGTGCATATACCTTTCCCATTTGATGAAGCAGAGCAGCAAGGAGGTAACTGTTTTTAATGTGAATTCTTCACCAAAGATTTCAGTGCTATTGTAATATTATTTTGTATTATGGTGAGGCTGAACTTAATATATTAATATCCATTTTCAAATAGCAGAGGACTCCAATGTTACTAGCTATTGATTATAGTTAAAAAAGAAAAATGAAGGGATCCTTACGTTGTGTCCAAAGAACGCTGTAAATACAGAGGAAAATAGAGTGATGCAAGAGGAAAACTATTACCCTAACTTCCAATTAATTTTCATAAACTAACTGGGAAAACACTGTCTTATGTTTCCCCATCACTGCTTCTATATGCACCTCCGTGCTACTCTTCATATTGCACGTAAAGTAAAAAACTTGTACATTTATTTGATTCTCCTTCAAGTCCTTGCACAAAGCTCATCACTGGTCTGATACGTACAGAATACTGCCAGCTGAAAACATTTGAGCAACAGATGAACTCTCAGTGGTGCATTCAGCTAAGCTATCTTGATGATTTCCCTGGAGCACTTCTGTAAAAATGAAAATAAAAAATTAGACACCGTTTAAAAAAACCTTTCATGTTAATGATGTTGATTTTAAAATTTCCTGATCTTCACTTTCAAGGTCTGCGCAATTATAGCTGCTTTTAATGAGGTAGAAATTTGCTGATTGTGTAGGGTTTCTTAAGTTTGTCTTAGTCAATTTTGAAGATTAAAGATAGTGCAGAGGAAGTTGATGCAGAAGTCATGTACTTCCTAGCTGAGCGCTCTGTATACAAAGTCTTAGCCTTGCGATTTAACATTTGAAACTATAAACAGTTGCTAGACAAAATACAAATGAGCATATGCCATCAACCAGTTTCCTGAGCTAAGTCTAAATCCAGTTTGCTTGTTTAGGTTTACAACGAGCTGTTTCCTACATTGACTACTTCTTCTGTTGGTCTTTGGCAGAGTGGTCCACTTCCTTTCACCTCGATCCTTGGGTGAAAAGTCTTGAGCTCAAAACTAGACATTTCTTTCTCATTCCCACACCCTTCTTCTGGCATCAGCTAGATGTCAAAACCCAGTAGTTCCTCAACCTGGGAGCACTGCAGGACTATTTTATGCTTAGTAATGTACCTCAAACTGAACTTTGGGACAAAGTACTGTGGAATATTCAGATGGACATTAGTAAGATCCAGGGCAAAAATTGCTGCATTCTGCCATTTAGCTGAAGGTGTGGGACAATGGCTCCCACTAATTCTTGCATCCTCTTCCTCCCCCTCCCCCTTTGCTACTGTATCATAGGGTACTATATTGTTTTTGAAATGTGGGAGAAACCATACACTTAAGTTTTCATACCATATATATGAATTTAGGAGTTAGAGAGGGTAGGGAAATTGCCACATGCCTAAATGAACTTCCAAGCCATCAGAAGTCTATCCCAGACTTCCTGAATATTAACTATGGTAGTGCTGTGGTGACTCAACATCACTGCAAGAAGGTGGTAAAGGCAAACTTGTGCACTTTTTTCTCTGTTAGACTTCTCTCGTGTGAATATGGGTGTTCATAAAGCTTTGAGAATGTTAATCGACAAAGTGGATTTGCAGCACTTTTGTGGCTATGTTACCATGTTGAATCCTTTCTGTCAACACACGAACAGAAAGCTGAGCGATGCTTCTGATGAAAAAGGTTAGTCAGTGAAAACTATTTTTCTTTGGTGGCCAATGTGTTTGAATTCATATATTCTCTTTTAAACAAAAAAGCAAGGGGTATAAATGTATTGTGTAAATCTGTGGTGTCAACCACATGGCTAGCAGTTAGCATGTTAATTTGGCCTGTTGAGTGTAGCTAGTTCACTCTAGCAGTATCCACTATAATAGCTATTACAGTAGACTTCCGATAATCCGGAACCTATGGGACCTAGGTGGTGCCGGATTATCAGATATGCCGGACTATCAGGAGGTACTATAAGCTGGTTTTATATATATATATATATATATATTATATACTGTATATAAAGTGTTCTTAACCCTTTTTATTGTACATCTTTTTATTGTACGTACTGTATACAGTATACTGTAATGTTTTAGGTTTTTAAAGCCTTTTTTACCCTTTTTGCTCAGTTCACCTGCTGCCGCTGTTACCTTGTGACTCATTTTTTGCCGAAGCTCACTCACTAGGCTCTTGCCATTTTGATGCCAGACTATTGGGTGAGCTGGACTATTGGATGCCGGACTATTGGAGTTTTACTGTATATTTGAACTGGTTGGGCACCACAGTTGTAGAATATTTTAAAAAGTACAAAATAAAACATTAAATAGCTGACAGTTTTAAGATTTTATTTTGAAAACAAAACTGTATTTAAATAAAAACAGTAGGATCCTTAGAAATTCCTTACACCCGATCAAAGTAGGAACCTTGCATTTCTCTTTACTACTTTATACCAGGCATCTGGATTACTGTCATTAAGCAAATAGTTTCAGAGGTACTTTGTTCAGTTATTAGTACATCACATATGAGTAAAACTTATATAGTCTGTACATCAGGAGGTAACTAAGCTAATACTATCCAGTTAAACATTAAGTAATTATCTTAATTTAGGTGAACTTGAATTGGCATCAGCGTCTGATGTAAATGGGAGCACAGAATCATTTGAAATTGTTATTGAAGAGACACCTCTGGATTCTGCATCTAAGCAAAGCCCTGAAGGTAAGGTCTCATAAATGACCTGTGGTTTTTTTTTATGCAAGATAAAATCTTCCTTAGATTTTTCTGTCTAATCACTAATCTAGTATTAAAGTACCTGTAGTAGTCAGGATTCACTGGTGTGGAGTCCTGACAGGTCTTCTCCGTCAATAATGATAACCATTTGACAGTGTGTGAGTGCTCAATTCTGTGTGTTGTGTTGACTTTTTTGCAAGCAATCCACACAGCAGACACCAAGAGAGCCCTCAAAGACCACAAAATCAGATAAGGATTGAAGGCACCTGGCCCAGTTAATTGTCAAACAAAGTTCAGTAATAGTTGTCAGTAGACTCTTATGAACCACTACACGCGTGTACTCCCTGACAATGGGCCAGCTTAGTCATTAGGAGGTCCCATTGCCCCCTAGACTGGACAAAGACAGCCCTCCAAAATACCACTTTTATACAAATACAAACAAATTACACATGACTCCTGATGTGTCAGGATGCCACCTTCTGACGTTACCCATCGCCTTGTATGTTGTGGTATGATTAGAACTTTTCTGTCCATTCTGCTTTCCTGAACCTGAGTAGGTATATCGCTGTTATCTGTGGGGAGTGTGGGTTAGGGATGTTAGCAGTTATCCAGGTAACCAATTAACTGATAAGTGACTGTTAATCAGTTTCAGAGCAGTAGCCATGTTAGTCTGTAACTGAATTAAAAAACAAAACAAAACAATGAATAGTCCTGCAATACATTAGAGACTAATAAAAATTGTAGATGGTATCATGAGCTTTTGTGGACACAACCCACTTATTCAGATGAATGGAATTAACGGTCCCGCAACACAGCCCTCCTTCCCCCCGGTCCAAGTTTTAAATGAAGAGCACACAGGGGAACTGACTGCCACCCTGTGCTGCTTCCTCTGATACAGGGATCTCTGCTGCCATGGGATGCCAAAGCAGCTTCTGTATGCTGGAAGCTTGGACTCTCCATGGTTGGGGTCTGCTGCCACCCCACGCTGCTGCCTCCGATACAGAAGCAGCAGTACAAGGTAGCAGGGGGCTCCCTGGGAGTTTGCTTTTGGCTCCCAGCCCTGTCCCCCCCAATGCAGGAACCGAGTAACCATGTATTATTAATTTAAATTATTAAATTAACTGACTTCTAACATCCCTAATGTGGATACCAAGGTCCTTTTTAACAAGGTGTTGCTACCATCTTTTGAGAATGTGCATTCAACTTATGACTAGTACCAATTACTGTTCTACACCCAGGCCTATTACCAATTAGTGTTTTACACACTCAGCCCTGTTCATGACGAGTTCTGTGAGCAGGGGCCTGCCTCTTGCTCACATCTTAGCTTTGCTTTATATTAGCAAAGTTTTGACCTTTGTTAGCCAGGCCTCAGGCCTGTGCTACATGGACTTTTTGTTTCAGGCCCATCTCTTATCACAGTACCTAATGTGACAGACATAATTCAGTAGCCTGCCACACTCTGGTGGAAGGTAGGTATACAGGGCACTGGATAAGTGGTTTTCTCTTTCCAGAGTAAACTACTAGAGGCTGCTGCAATAAAAATGAAGGCAGGAAAACACCTAGGGCTAATTAACTAGATTACTCTCTCAGGCAAATCACTCAATACCTGCAGCCAATTACAGCCAGTGGAGTTGCTTTAAAAGGCCTCTCCTAGGTAAGGAGAGGGGGAAGACAAAGAGTGACGGACTGGAAGGAGAAAGGGAAGAGCAAGAAGTTGTGTGAGCTGAGAGCTGGTTATCCAGTACGAGAGGAAGACATTTTGGAGGGATTGTTTGGGGAAATGGGCCAGAGAAAAAGCTGCTAAGTCAGAAGTAAAAACAACCTTGACTGCTGCTGCTGCTACTTTAAGGTCTCTGGGCTGGAACCCAGAGTAGTGGGCAGGCCCAGGTTCCCCCCCAAATCTCCCCCTCCAATGCCAACACAGAGCCTATCCCAAGTAGGAAGACCAGGACTATCAAGTGGTTTTCACCCCAAAACCATGGACTAACCTGTGATGAGTATGGTTCACTAAGGTATGGACCCTGCCTCCTGTAAAGAGAAAGCAGTTGTGTATAGGACCACAGCGAGTCTGAGGCTAATATCTGCCAGTAGCGCGAGACTCCTGGGGCATGGCCAGAACTTTGCCACTCGAGGCAGCGCTTGTATTGTGTGTTTAATGTCTCCTCTAGAGCAGTCTTTTAAGGAAATAGTACACATTTTTAAAAATGCTATATTTGACACACTGATGCAGAGATCAAACACTGTTGACACGTTTTAATGCGGATCTCTACAAATTTTCTTTTTGCTTAGAATTGGTAGTTTCATTTGAAGTTGTTCTGTCTGCTAAATATTTGTGCAAGTTTTAGAAAGAATGGGAGGTAGGAATCTTTTGGTACAGATTAACTGCTGACTCTATTTTTATTTTTCTAGAGCGAACTGATCTGGGGATCAAATTTTCAGGTTGAATTTTCTGTTCTTTTCAGTAAACTTTTCCATATCTTGTATTCACATCTTGTAGTACCCACAACAGAACTTGAATGGGTTCCCCTGGAATTATGCTTTGGAATTCCACTCTTCAGTTCTGAATTAAACAGGAAAGTCTGCAGAAAAATTGCTGCCCATGGACTATGTAGGAAAGAAAGGTGAGCTTTCTTCTGCCACCACCATTATGTGTAGAATTTATCTATGCTTTGGCAATGCAGTAATTAAAGTCGAAACTATAGAATTGTGTTGGTACATTGTAAGTATAGGGTGCTGACTCTGTAGGTGATCTGGGAATGGAGCACTCGCAGGGGAAAAATTAGTGGTTGCTGAGCACCCAACAGCAATCAGACTTTCTCAATCTGCCCTGCACCTCTTACCTGCTAGTGGCCTGACTGACTGATTTCTTCCCTCCCCTCCCAGAACTTCTGGTGTACTGAGAACAGCTGAAGAAGCTCCAAGATGGTGGGGAAGGAGCAGGGACAGGGCACACTTGAGAGAGGAGGCAGCACAGGGGCTTGACAGGAAGAGTGGAATGGGAGCAAAGTAGGAAGAAGCAGGAGTGCAGGTTTGGGAGGAGTGGAGTGGGGGCAGGGTTGGAGCAGAGTGAAGGTCCAGCACCTCTTGCTAGAGGAGAAGTCATTGCCTCTGGTGGTGGAGGTCACTTTTAGGCTCCAACATACTAGCTATAATGTACATTCTCATAGCTCGCTGATCATAGCTTAAGTCCTAGCTATATTTGGCTGCTGTTGTCAGTGTGGGCTACTTAAAATCTTGCCTTGCAATCTAACTTTATACTAGATTAAACTTCATATGCCAATTGGTTAATATAGTGGAATATTTTTTGAAAGACATATTTTCCAGAGTAAAATAAAAGCAATTGGATTTCTGATAGTAAATTGTTTCAATCTTTGTTCAGTGAGCTCTCTGATGGACAATTTAAATTGTGACTGTCACTAAAATGCAGCACAATTTAAATTGTGACTGTCACTAAATGTCAATTGTCAATTAGGTTATATTACTTAAATTAATGTGTATTTTCTGTGTGAATAAATACAGTCCTTTGTAGAAGAACAAAGCAGAGGAAAGTAGCCATAAGGACTCTTGACACAAGCTTTCCTTTCATCATCAAAGTACTAGCAAAAATCAAATTCTGTAAATGCTGCTAATGTAGCTTTATTGTGTTTGGTTTTGGGAATACAGTTCCTATGTACTATAATTAAATCTTATGGACTTAATCGAGTGATGGCCTGTAATCTGTACAGGCAGTCCCCGAGTTACATGGATCCGACTTACGTCGGATCCCTACATACGAACGGGGCTTTTTTCGCCGCGGAGGACGGGGGCGGCGGGACCGCCCAGACGTGCCGCGGTCCCACCACCCGCGTCCTCCGTGGCGAGAAAAGCCGCTCCGCGCTTTGCCCCCCGTCTCCCGACCAGCAGACCAGGGAAACGGGGAGCAAAGCCGCGGAGCATGCCCGCAGCGGGACAGTCCAAGCGCGCCCGGGCTGTCCCGCTGCGGCCGTGCTCCAAGGCTTTGCTCCCCATCTCCCAGCAGACCAGGGAGATGCAGAGCAAAGATTTGGAGCAAAGTCT